TAAATTAATAAAGATATAAGAATATATATATTTTTTTAAATTTGGTATATCATCTATTTTGACCGGTATTTTTTGGTATGAAACCGGTATAACTCTATATTTGTACCAAAATGGCATTTAGAGAGTTACTGTACCGGCCGCTTAATCGTATCGGATATTACCGTCAATACTAGTCGGTACGGTACGCTATTTAAAACATTGTGTTTGCGCATAATCATACATGTCAATTTGTTTATTTTGTTAGCAAGAATTTTTGTGTGCTCTTTAACATTAGTACGTTGACTATTGCAAATTGTGCTATCAATTAATGGTATTTAGATAATTAACATATATAATATCTTACTTTATATAATTTGTTTTGATAATTGCAAATGGTACTAAAATTTTTTTCTTAAACTTTGAAAAAATAATGTGATTAAAAATTATTATGTTCATATATAACACTCTACCGTCATTTTAAAACTAATAATGCAATTTTAAAAGTTTCAATTTTCAAAAATTTAAAATAAAATTGGTGTGTTGCTTTAAATATTTTGATGTAAATATTTCTTAATTCAATACCCCATATAGTACACGGGTATTGTACTAATATACACTTTAATGATACTTTGATCACAACTATATTGTGTAATTTAAACGGGTCATTCTACCGTTTGCTTTGTACACGTCTTAGACAATAAGCACTCTTTAAATAGACATATGCATGCCTTTTTCCCTAGTTAGACAATTAAAAGATATATATTTTATTTAATTACGAAAACTTCTTTACTTAAAAGTAAATAAGATTACAAATCATGTTTAATTTATTTAAAATGTGTTAAATTATTTATATATTATGCAGCATAATTTCAAGAGAAAACAAGAAACGTAAAAGATGACACTTTAAATTGAAGACTCATATAAACTCAAAACATCAAATTGATTAGCAGGTATTGTTGCCCTAAAAAAGAGAACTAAGTCGCTGATAATAGCTGGTTGAATTCTTTATCCCGCTTCCACGGGATGCTAAAAATCTGGTAACTTCATCGACATTTTTTTTCCGAATTTGTAAGCTCGGATCAATGATTGGGAGATATCATTGGATTTCTTAAGAAAAGAATTTTCTATATATATATATTTTTACAAAACTCCAATGGTTGGATCTTCAGTGACATTCTATCAAATTTAATCCGCAATTCTTTATTTTTTTTTTTTTTTAATCTTAACAATAGTTTCACAAATTTTGAGGTATCATATGATGAAATCAAACATGTCATTGGAAAGATTGAGTCGAAAACTTCAAATTAATATATGGTTGAAATTCATCACTAGTAGGCAGGCGGCGAGTGGAAATAAATAGAATTTTAATTTTTGCACCTTTAAATTTAGTAGCCCATTTACCGTCAATACCAGTCGGTACGGTACACAATTTAAAACATTGTGTTTGCCTATAAACATACATGTCAATTTGTTTATTTTGTTAGCAAGAATTTTTGTGTGCTCTTTAACATTAGTACGTTGATTATTGCAAATTGTGCTATCAATTAATTGTATTTAGATAATTAACATATATAATATCTTATTTTATATAATTTGTTTTGATAATTGCAAATGGTACTAAAATTGTTTTCTTAAACTTTGAAAAAGTAGTGTGATTAAAAATTATTATGTTCATGTGTAACACTTTAGTGTCATTTTAAAATTAATAATGCAATTTTAAAAGTTTGAATTTTCAAAAAATTAAAATAAAATTGGTGTGTTGCTTTAAATATTTTGGTGTAAATATTTCTTAATTCAATACCCATTTAGTACACGGGTGTTGTACTAATATACACATTAATGATACTTTGATTACAACTATATTGTGTAATTTAAACGGGTCACTCTACCGTTTGCTTTGTACACGTCTTAGACAATAAGCACTCTTTAAATAGACATATGCATGCCTTTTTCCCTAGTTAGACAATTAAAAGATATATATTTTATTTAATTACGAAAATTTCTTTACTTAAAAGTAAATAAGATTATAAATCATGTTTAATTTATTTAAAATGTGTTAAATTATTCATATATTGTGCAGTATAATTTCAAGAGAAAACAAGAAACGTAGAAGATGACACTTTAAATTGAAGACTCATATAAACTCAAAACATCAAATTGATTTGCAGGTATTGTTGCCCTAAAAAAGAGAACTAAGTCGCTGAAAATAGCCGGTTGAATTTTTTATCCCGCTTCCACGGGATGCTAAAAATCTGGTAACTTCATCGACATTTTTTTCCGAATTTGTAAGCTCGGATCAATGATTGGGAGATATCATTGGATTCCTTAAGAAAAGAATTTTCTATACATATATATTTTCACAAACCTCCAACGGTTGGATCTTCAGTGACATTCTATCAAATTTAATGCGCAATTCTTTATTTTTCTTTTGAAATCTTAACAATAATTTCACAAATTTTGCGGTATTATATGATGAAATCAAACATGTCATTGGAAAGATTGAGTCGATAACTTCAAAATAATATATGGTTGAAATTCATCACTAGTAGGCAGACGCCCGAGTGGAAATAAATAGAATTTTAATTTTACCTTTAAATTTAGTAGCCCATATTTTAATCATCTTTATTTTTATATAGATGATATTGAAATTAAATAATTTTTTTATGAATTATGATAAATTATAATCAAAATTAAAGTAAGAGTATAATAGTTTTGCATGTACGAGGTAATGTGCAAGACAATCAATATACTTTTTTTACACATATATTAAATGTAAGGTTGAGATTGAAGTTTTGATCAATCTAACGTGAAATGGTACCATACTTATGGCAGGTATGTACACAAGATATCTGACGCTGGAAGGTCCTTTGAAGGTGAGTATATAAAAAGATTTGTCAAATAGAATACTTCTTTTCGCCCTATTAGGATCTCTTACCTTGCTATTAGGATCTCCTTATCTTTTTACGAAGGCTTATAGGACATTAAAGGCGTGCAAAAGATATATGTTTGTGTGAGGTGATTTAACTTTTACGTGATCGGTATGTCATATTTTTTTAACATATTCTCATACTTTTATTAACGTTAAATTTTGTTTTGAAAGTGTTTAGATTTATTGAAAGAATATAGTTGTCTAATGGTTGAACTTTCTAATCCTATCAAAAGCCCATCAAAATTCTTGTCCGTTTTGTTTTGAATTTTGTATAATTATTTTTGTTTGCAATCCAAGAACGCATAAAAAAATATGCATACATAAAGAAGGAACCGTTGCACTATTAGAATATAATACTACTTGTGAGTTGTCCCACATCGTTAGACAGGGAAAATATGGTGCGTTTCACGTACATGAGACCGCACGTGTTTTCCCAAATTCTTACATGCACAAAGGCTAGAGAATTGATCAAAAGCTTAAAAAACAATCATAACATTTGCTTTGCCATGGTAACAAAACATATTAAAAATAGGTGTGGAGTGTGGATGCAAAAGGTCTGTTCTCAGCCAAATCCGCTTACTCTTTGTTTGTGTGGAATAAGATCTTAAGCCTGGACAGAGTAGAGGGTAGTGACTCGAGAGGTAAAGATAAAGCTGCTAGACTGAGATGCTGGAATTTAAACATTAAGGGCAAACTGAAGCATTTTGTGTGGAGGGGTTTCTCTGGTACTCTGCTTGTTGCAAGCAGCCTAAGGAAAAGGGGTATGGATGTGGACTGGATTTGTCGAAGCTGTGGGGAAGAGGAAGAGAGCATCGAGCTTGTCCTGTTTCATTGCAATCGTAAGGTATGGAAGATATCTGCTTTGGACTGGGATTTCTGCCAGCAGCAAACAGGGTCGTTTAAGGAGTGGTGGCAAATTACTGAGCTTGATAAATCGGAGACTTCGGAGCCCCGTATCCAACTTTTCACGTATATTCTTTGGTGGTTGTGGAAGGCGCAAAATTTATGGGTGTTTCAACGGGAGTGGTTGCCGGAGAGAGTAATAGTGCGAAATGCTTGGAGGGAGTTGACTGAATTCTTATGAGAAAATTGCAATTTTAGTCCAGTAACTTAGGCTGTTTCCCACTTTAGTCCAGTAACTTGGACCGATCCAAAATTGGTCCAAAAACTTCTAAAATGTAGTTAAATTAGTCCAATTCCGGTCTCCGTCGCCGGAATCCGATCGGAATGTGCTGAGTTGGCAATTTGGATTCCGGCGACGGGGATCGAAATTGGACTAATTTAACTACATTTTGGAAGTTTTTGGACCAATTTTGGTTTTGGATCGGCCCAAATTACTGGACTAAAGTGGGAAACAGCCTAAGTTACTGGACTAAAATTGCAATTTTCTCAATTCTTATCATGCAGAGCCATGTGAAGTTTTTAGTAAGGAGAATTAGCATATTAGGTTCATGTGTTCAGTTTTCTTCTTTTTCTCCTCGTGTGTGTGATGTGGATTGTTTTGAGTTGTGTTACAATATAGGTTTCGAGCTTTTGGCCTCACCTATAGTTCTTATTAGTTTTACTGTTAGTTTGATTCTAGGGCACCGGTTCTGGTGTTCCTCCAATGTTGGTTGTGTATTCAGGCTCATTAGCCCTCCGGATTGTAAAACTCTTATTTTTAGTTATGAGTAATTCTGCCGTTTCGAAAAAAAAAAATGGAGATAGAATTAGTTGGGAATTGAAAGATGAAAGAACAGGCAGACACTTTTCCTTGTTAATAACTTTTATTTGTGTTTAAACATATAAACATCATATGAACATCCACATAAAGCAAAATCAAACCCCCACTCCTCGTCTTAACTCCCTTCTCTTAAATATATCATCCATGATCCACCTATCAAATACTCCCTATGATCATGAAACCATACTATGTCTAAACTTAGGATTTAAAAAAAAAAAAAAAAAAAGTAAAGTAAAAAGGAAGGTATTTTAATAATATGGCATCACGACTATAGCAGTAAGTCATGAGAACACCACACTCCATCAAGAACCGGTCGAGTGGAACCCATGAAAGACCGTGATTATTAAGACAGACAGTAACCGGAACCCATGAAAGACCGTGATTATTAAGACATACAGTAACCGGACCCGCAAACTTCAATGCATCACATCACGGTACAGCTGGACGTATTTTCATCACTAAACATGGCGTACTGGTCTACCCGCTCGCCTGGTGGTGGTGGGTATGGGTAGCCCGGCGAAGGCCCGTAGCCCGGCGGTGGCATGTAATTAACAGCTGGCGGCGGCCTCGCATACATCATGGGCTGGAATCGCTCGTTCCCATTGGCCCGCTGCTGGTTCATCATCATCGCCGCCAACTGCTGCTGCTGCTGGTGGGGCCCACCCATTGGGCCCGGCCGGTTGATTGCCGGCAAACCCTGCACGGCTCCCCCATGATTGTTGCGGTTCATATTCATGTTGGGCATTATGCCATGTGCCCCTTTGTTCCCCCCCATGAATCCTCCGTTCATATTCGGTGGGGCGCCGGGTTTCGGGCCGGCACCCTTGAGACCGTTCATCATCGGCGGGCCTCCCTGCTTCGGCTTGTTCGGAGGGATGATGTCATCCATCTCATCATCATCTTCGTCATCAAACTCATCATCATCAAGATCGTCATCGTCATAGTCATCGTCATCATCGAACTCGTCATCATCATCAAATTCGTCGTCATCACTCAGCCCGTCAGCCATGGGAGGCGGTGGTGGCAATTTCCCATTTTGCCCCTTGGCAATTGGGGGCCCGAGGGCAGGAGGCATTTTCTTCATGTCCTTGAGGAAGTTAGGTGGCAGCTTCAGATCCGGCAGCCCCTTCATCTGCATCTGCTGCTGGGGCTGAGGCTTGGGGTGGTTGTTATTATTATTACCTTTTTGCCCCTGGGGCTGCTGCTTGTTGATGCTGTTATTTCCGCCCTTTTTCCCCAAGTTGATTTGGAGGTTCTTTAGCTGGTTGTTGAGTTGATTTTGATGGTTGTTGATGGGCTTTGGAGAACTCCATAGCTCGGCGTGCTTGCCGTTCTTGGTAAGCTTCTTGATGATGGTGGCCGGGTCAATGTTACCCGACACACTCACCTTACCCTGCTCCGAGTCTATCTTCATGGTGTACACACCTGTCAAAAATAAATAACAGGGAAAAAAGTGTGAATTTTTGTGAGGTGGGAGAAAAAGCAAAAACAATTAGAGAGAAAAAGAGAGGTTGGTACAAAAGAGAGTCAAATCCAGGACTAAGGAAGCATGCGCGCCCAGAAGATATTCTTTGAATACTGGTGATTTGAGAAAGGGACCACTTAGCTTCCCTTGAATATTTAAATAAGAAAGATAGATGATAAAAGAATCGCCAAATTCAGATTCAACAGATTGGTTTCTCTCTCTATTTCTTTTTCTTTTCTTTTTTTTTTTCGGAGCAGTTTAATTGGAAAACAAGAAAAACCCAAAAGGACAATTAATGGAATCATACTTCATACCATCAATCTTCTGCAGGATTTTCTTCACTTTATGCTTACATCCATCACAGTGTATATTGACCTTGAGGACACAAGTCTGCATAAGCAAGCAAAGTCACAGGACATTAACAGGGTAAAGTTAACAACTTTACTGCCCAGAGACAGAAATAAAGAACCGTTGAACCAAAAACAAAGATGATGATGATGATGATGATGATGATGATGATGATAATAATAATAATAATAATAATAATAATAATAATAACCACCCTTGTGTTCAAGAAAACAAGTTAATGAATTGAATGAATAAGTAGAATAAAAAAAACAAAAGGAACACAATTACACAAAGCACACACAAGCAACTTACTGCAGTTAAGAATCTTGGAAAATTGGATAACCATCAAACCCGTGACAAAGCCAAAAATGTAGAAACACAGTCACAGATTGTTTTTCCTTCAAATTAGACACATATTTTATGTGCAACATAAGGGAGAGAAGAAACTAACCTGGATCTTCAAGAATTCTTCTTTACTCATCTTTCTTTATCCACTAACCAAAATCTCAAGAGAAACAATTAAATACTTAATTTGGATTGATAGATCTGAGCATATAGAGCCTTGAAGAATGTAATGTTAATAAACCTCACATCAACAAAGAGAGAAGGTGAGGACGAAGAAAACAAAATATAAATTTAAGCTTGGCGGTGGTTGAATAATATTAAACTCCTGCTCAGTTTCTGGTTTCATCTATTTCAGAGTAAGTGTGTGTGAGAGAGAGAGGCCAAAGAGAGAGAAAAAGAGAGAGAGACGGATTACGAAACAAACAAAGTGCAGACTGGCACATGTATCACACTCTACACTTCCTTGGTTTTGGAACTTTTATTTATGGTTTTCTTTTCTTAATAAAAATAAAATAAAAATCAAATCTTTTTGGAACTATCAACAAGTTTTTTTAGTGTTTCTCAAATTTCATAAGGAGGCGATGATGATAACCCAAATCTTATTTACGTTTTGTTCATTGTAGTTTTTTTATAGTTTGTGTTTGTGATAAGCTAATTGGGGTATGTGACTTGACTTTATAATTTATATAGAGCCTCGCAGAGTTTTGCTTCTTGGCTTGGCTTAACTACCATGGTCGGTCAATTTCACTCTGCAATTTAACTACGGTATGCAGGAAAAAAATCTGGTAAACATATGCGCATTTATTGTTGCCAAGCAGATGGAGTTTTTTGCCTTATTTTTCTTTCCCTCCATCTTAATATTGGTTGCCTGGTTGGTAGAACAAACTAGTATTCGACATGTGCATTTGCACATATATAAATAAATTATTGTGAGTCTGTATGCATATAATGATTAATTATTTTTCTCACTTTTTTGCAGACCAAATTTACAATTAAAAGAGTTGGAATATTTTTTTTTTAAATTGCGTTTATCTGATTGGATGTAATGTATATTTTGGTACGTCTTTTATTTGTGAATTATTTATTATTTATTTAGGAATTTTAAATATATTTTTTATTTTAAAAGAAAATTAAATATAACAACAATAATAACTTCTAATCACATTATACGGTCAACACATTATATGGTCAACTGTCATTAATAAAAAATTTAAAATAATTTTTGTAATTTTGAAGTGATGAATATTAATTATTTAATGATTAAATGAAAGATTAAATACATCAAAATGTAACGGTTTTTGGAGGGAAAATTGTTAAATTGCCAAATAGATAAAATTAAATAGGTTTTATTAAATGTTTTGAGCTAGTAATTATATATATATAGATTTTAGTCATTTATTATTGCCTATTATAAAAAAAATTAGATTTGGTATATCCAAAAAATAATATTCATTATTTATATTTGTATTCTTAAAATAAGTATCATGGAATTAATGCTTAAAGGAAAGAAAAGATCTTCTAAACTTTATATATCTTAGTTATTGGCTTACGATATATTTAGAATTAATTATCTTATTTAGCTTGTAGGAAAAAGAATGATATCTATATATACTAGTTTTTAACTCGTGCATTTGCACGGTAAACAATATAATAGAACAAAAAATAATAAAAATATATAAA